GCTGTATTATTCAGCCACAGTGTTTCAGCTCTAAACTTAATCTTTAAATGTCTTAACTTTTTCTCACAACGAATTTTTCAAGTCTTTCATCTCTATTCAAGAGGATGGTTCAAAGTATAAATACATCATACATTTTGGACGATTTCCTTCCGCACCAAAAAGAAAATTCCAAATTTTTGGAAATTCGATTTCCAATTAGATCGCTATAAAATCGATTTTTATGTATGCCATAATAATTTACTGAGGAATTATAAATTTCGCATTAATTTCACCATGTGTTAATATAGTTTACAATAATTAGTCCGCAACGATGATAATTAGGATTAGTTAAATCCATAAATATTAAACTTGCTTACAATCTTTACTTTACTCACAATCAGTCTCACTTAGGTCATACTTTTTCTTCTCATTCAGATTTATATTCTTTTTTCACAATTAGGTCATTTCTTCTTACTCAAATTTGTACTTTTTTCTTAATCTCACTCAGGTTGTAAATTGGAGTCAAGCTTTCTTTTTGAGACGACTTTCTTTCGACATTGTTTGTTGCCTGTAACTACATTCGAAAATATTGTTTCGAATGGCTATTAGGCTTTTCTGCTTGGTTAGGTCTTTCTTGCCTAAATGCACTTCCGCTTCGATAGGCTTGGATGTGATTTTGTAGCAAATGTTGCAACTTACTTGGCAACAATGCCAACCTATCGTTGAACATAGTTCAACAATACTTAAATCGTACGATGATTTGTCTATAAAACATATAAAACTGAAATAATTTTATTGGTAGTTTTTCATACCATTTTCGGAAAGGTTGACAGGATAATAGGTAATGATATCATCCATTTTCAGGAGTTTCTGAACGAGTTCATACTATGTCATAATTATCTTCGGTGGGCTTTAGGTGTTCGATTGAGTCCGGCTTGTCCTCTTAAATGCACGTTTGAGATGATAAAATTTCGCAACTGTCGAAAAATGAAAAATGGCTTGAAGCTCTGCCATACTGTTCATATCTCCCGGAAAAGCTTGGAAGATTTGGAGTTTTTAATTTGGTTTTTTGATCGTTGTTAGAAGTATCATTCTTTATATTTTTGTCAGTTTTTTCTCTCTTTTCTTCCATTAGTGTCTTTGCTTTTGTCATCGTTTCGTAGAATGTTTCAATTCGATCATTTGAAGTTCAAAATTTGCTCGGGAAAATTGGGAAAAGATCTGCTTGGCTTTCTCATAACGAATGTTTAAGTTCGTCATGTTAACGTTTTCTTGTGCTACGAAGTTCTCAAGGCTTGACAACTGATAGTTAAGATGAAGTTTTGTTGCCAAAAGGCTGGCTTTTTTCGCTTTTTGCATTATTAGGCCGAATTACTGTCTGATATTTCCAAATTGAATCGTGGAATGCGGTCGATCACTGCACGATTTTTAATAACAGAGGTATGTGGAGATCAATCGATCACTGCTCAAGTTTGGTATTGACACAGAGATCGAGCGATCACTGCATGTCTCAACCACAATATGATAATTTTTTTTTTTTCAATTCGGCCGTATACCTATTCCACTTTTGTGAAAATTTTTAACTTTTGTTGACGTCCTCTAAATTGCGCAGATGAAGATCACGTCGTGGTCACCATGTTTTTCTTAGTTTTTAATAAGAAAAATATATAATTACGTAGTAATTGTAAATAAATACAAAACAATTCTCGGTAGATGTCAAAGACTGACTGAAAACATTTATTAACCTCTTATGAGAAAAATATATTAATGTCAGCTGACACTGACAATGTTGTCAGATAAACAGGTTGTCCCAAAACAACTAATACCAAGTCTATAATTTGGAAACTATGATAGATTTCGAAATTTGGTTTGTAGGAGGTTGTAGTTTGTACTATTAGCTATCAAACCCCAAAATTTGAGCTTATTCGGTTGAAAACTCACTGAGTTACAGTAATTTTTCTGTAAAAAGTTGAAGATAACCCTACAGGATTTTCGAGAAATTTTTGATTTCGTGAACTGTTCCCGAGCCGCGCTGTAGATCGCGACGCTGTGGATCATGTGAAGGGATCATGAGGGCACTGTTCTGGATGAAGATTTTAACCTCTTAACATGTGTTTTCATAGCAATCGAGACACTTCGTCCTCAGCCACGGTGTCGATGTTGGCCTCTGTCGCCCGAAATTGACGGCCGGCCACCATGCGGAGCCAGGCTGCCGACTCTCGACCCTCGGAAAAGCATTTATGCCAGTGAAGAATGATACTTTTGCCAAGTCAATTTAGTCCATAAGCAACTGTCATCTCATTGAAAGTTTCAGTGGCAGAAAAACCACGGCGAACGCAATATCGAATGGCATAACGTTGTTATTGTTTCAACTCAGCGGACGAGCTCATTGCGCTTCGCGAGAGAACACTTCTTGACACTGAACGGTTTCGGCTGCACTGAACTTTCATGCGTACGAAGTGTCTTGATTGCGATGAAAACACATGTTAAGGGGTTAAAACCTGCATCTAGAACAGTGCCCACATGATCCCTTCACATGATCAACAGCGTCGCGATCTGCCGCGCGGCTCAGGGATGGTTCGCAAAATGAAAAATTACCCGAAAATCCTGTAGGGTTATCTTCAACTTGTCCCCGAAAAATTGCTTTAACTCAGTGATTTTTCAACCGAAGAAGCTCGGTAATAACCGAAATAGGTAAACCAAATAAGGTATCATCAATCATTTATGAACAATTACTTGAAAAGATCTCTAGATCAGGGCTGCTGGGAAGAAAACACAGGTTGCAATCTGAGTACTTACTGTGGCAACTAAATTTATCAAGGGTGCGGGAATCATAAAAGGATTGTATAGAAATGAATCCAGTTATCTTCGGCTATGATAGAATAGAAACATGCATCGATTAATCTATCTTATTCTTGTTATTCAAATAGTTAAAACCATAAAAACATTAACATAACCTAAATGTGGTTTCTACACTTCTGCAGGTAGGACACAGCTTCATCCCCCTCAGATTGAGACCCCGACACATATCATCGTATTGAGGGATAGGATGATTTTAAGGTGGAGAGTTGCTGAGTCTGATTAATGAGAAATAGTATCTAGGATTTGCTATAGTGGGATGTCATCAATCATTCATGAACAATTACCTGAAAAGATCACTAGATCAGGGCTGCTGGGAAGAAATCACAGGTTGCGATCTGAGTACTTATTGTGGCAACTAAATTTATCAAGGGTGCGGGAATCATAAAAGGATTGTATAGAAATGAATCCAGTTATTTTCGGCTATGATAAAAGAGAAACATGCATCGAACCATCTATCTTATTCTTGTTATACAAATAGTTAAAACCATAATGACATTAACATAACCTAAATGTGTTGTTGTTGTTGTCTGCGGTTTCTACACTTCTACAGTCGGCGCTCACCATCCATCGCGCAGTTCTATGAGTTGTTTTGAAATTCAAATTTTTTGTGAAGAATTGAAGGACCCTACTTCTTTCGATAAATTCTCATTTCGACGCCCATGTAAGTCTGCAAACTTTCCAAAAGGCACATCCTTGGAGTCTATAGATTCATATTATCCCTAGTTTAATGGATTTTATGCCACCCTTATCTCGATAGCCCTGGAGACAGATCTACATTCAAATCGTCAGAAAATGGCTTAATTATTAATTGTTCTTCCTTAAACGTCATCTATTTCAAATTTCCAAAAAAGAAATTTTAGTTTATATAACGTTGATTCAAAATATCTGCATTTGTATAGGGTTTTTTCCTACGGTTATAGCTGTAGGTCGATTGAAAAACGTAACAGTCTCTATCGCGGCGAAGCGTTTTGCGGGCCCCAAATCGCTGCTCAACAATTCCATCATAATCGTTTCTTGGGGTCCAAAATTTGTCGTTAAAGCTTAATAACTTTTTTAATATTCAACTAAACTCAAAAAGGGTGGGCATTATGAGTAGAGCTGAGCAGCTCCAACCCAAATGTTATACGGTTTTTGGGATTTACTGTTAGACTTAACAAGCAGGAGAGCTAAATGGACCGCAAACGGTACAGGCAAGCCCGATTGAGTTTCTCTGTGCATACTTAGTAAGGCAGCAGCCACCTGCCGTTTTCAACTTTTTTTTTTAATTGTTTTTTTTTCTTTTGGTCTTCAACTTTTAGGGGAATTTTTTAGGATTGGGCCGGGGTGGCTACCGCCACCTAGAATGGAGTTGTTTTTTGAGTCATCACCTGCTTTCCCATCCAAACCTTCAGAATTAAATATTCCTGAAGACTTGCTTATGTCAACCCCTATAACTTCGAAGTTATTATCTTGCAATTTTTTCCCTAAAGAATTTAATGGTATTGCTTGACCTTGCTTCTTTGCAACTTTCTCCGATGTCTTCTTCTTGTCAAATATTTTCCCGCAGTCGTTTAAAATTTTGTGGCGAATTTTATTTTGATCACATGTGTACCTTCTTAGAACTGCATTCTATGTTATTTATAGACCTATGTACCCACTTGATTTCAATGTTAATTAAAACCTGTGTAATTATTTTCCTGTACATTTTATTATTGGGTAAGTATTGCTGACATAATTTTGTGGGAAAGTCCATGAAGATGATCCTGTGCGATTGAAAGGCTCCGACCTATTTACTATTCATAAAAAATGCGCAGTACATAGACATTGAGGGTAAGTGTTATTCTTAACCTTCTTATAATTCAATTATAAGTAACTGCTCCCCCTAATATGTTTAACTAAAACATTATAGGTTGTTATTCAAGGAGGTTCCTAAATTTCAGCTTTCAACATTTCAAAGTATACTTTTACTAAAATACTTGTTAGGAGGGCTGCAGGATCTTGAAATGAACACAAAGAGATGCTGTTAACGCTGTTAAGATAACATACCCACAATGTTAAATCAACAAGCAAAGCGTTCATATAAACATCCTAGAGTTGTTGCGTAGATTTTTAACATCCTGGGATATTATATTAGTTCTGCAACTGGTTTTTTTTTTTCTACAGGAAATCAAAACAATTACCTGATAATCTTAGAGTTTTGTTTCATTCTCAGCGTTTCAGGGTCATCTGCTACTTGTGTGAGTTTCCCTTTGGCCTTTTCAAATTCTGCATGGTACTTCACCTGTAAACCATAAACATTTTAAATGCACCAATTTTAGTAGTAAAAACAACCAAAATTAAACGGATTTTACAGTGCATATAGACCGCAGACAAGCTATGAAACATTTGTATCCTCCAATTATTTTTTATCTTAATGGTAAGAGAAATAAAATTGTTGTGACATTTTTCCTCTTTAACAGGGATGAACTTAAACTTCAGGTTGGGAGTTGTTCTTGTATGTTTGCTGCTTTTGATCTGGATTTATTGAGTCTTCGATTAAGGGTTGCACACTAGGATGGGCCGAAAAAATGTTTGTTCTTTGAATCATTTGGGGCTAGTGGGGATATACTCATTGAGTAAAAATTATGAACACTCATCCAAGTCGCATAAAAAAATTTCAATTTCCGAGGTTCTGACTCGGAACATTTTCATTTTCGTACACTCTAATTTCATCGTTTTTTCGATGACTAACCCCATAATTTTTCACAAGCATAAAATTTGCGTGAAAGGCTAGTGAAAATACTTTAACTCAACACAAAAGGGGGCTAATCCCCGAAACTGAGCTCAATTGGAGCACTTCATGAGGTTCTGAAATAGATTTGAATACTTAAGAATCGAATTCACTAAAAATTACATGCTCTTGGCAGATGGTGATTTTCTCGACCTACCTCTCTTTAAAAAAAAAAACCCGACTAGCGCCCAAAACGCTCTTCAGGATGTTTTTTAAGCCCATGAAAAATCCTGACGAATAATTTTGACTTTTTGAGGCTCTGAATTCCGGTCAAAGTAAAAAAAAGGCTATTTTTAGTAATCAACGCTCTAATGTGGCTTCTATTTTTCATGCTTTTTAGTGTTTCTTAGCGAATTTCTGTTACCATTAAGTGAGAAAAAGTTACCATGTGACGAAATGCAAGTATCAAAATAATATAGCTCAAAAAATTATTTCAATTGGCTGCTGAAACAGGTGGGGGGAGGGAGAGCAGCTCGCGAACTCTTCAAAAACTGCAGAAACCGGCTGCTCCCTCTGACCCCAGGAAAGCGAACATCAGGACATAAGCAATTCTTTTTCTGCTGAAATGTATTATTAAAATACTGCTTGAAATGCATTATACTATTGGTTAAATTAACATGCTGCAATGGCACAACACATGCATCATAAATGTACATCTCGAGGCAGACCCTGTCATCGAAGCATAAAACTGCTACGAGATCAGAAGTAAACTACGTTGCAAAAATCAGGAAATAAATCATGTTAAAACAACAAGCACAAAAAACAATTTAAAAAAAAATAAATATTAAAAAATCAGCCTCACAATCAGGAAGAATAATATATAAACAGTTGATTTATGTACAGATATGTTGTAACGATATGTAGATATACAGTTGATTAAAATGCAATGCACTGCAAAATCTTCATGAAGCTGCTTACATAATGATATTATTGGTGTAAGGACTGGCTTTACGGTATGGGCCTGTTGCAAACTTTTGCTATATCAAAACTAAGATTTGTTTCTTATAGATAATGCCTCAAAAATCACGATGAGCGCATTGGCAAAGTCTGAAATGCACTCATAACTTCACAATCTGCGTAAGAAATTTGCGGTTTTTTGAGCTTCCCGCTTCAAAAACGATACTACGGCACAGGTGAACATTTTGTTAGAGGAGAGTCCATCGTCGGCAATACTCATCATGGCCGACGCCAATTCGCCAAAACACGTATGATGAGACGAGATAACACCTGAACAGCATTAGACCAGATAACAATCGGCGTGTTTACGTTCTTATTTTCCTCGCCCGCCTTGATTGACCCTGAACTCACCTCGAATTACGCGCGGAACTGCGGAAGCGTCGGCCATGATGAACATTGCCGACGATGGAACGACTCCTCTAACAAAATGTTCACCTGTGCCGTAGTATCATTTTTGAAGCGGGAAGCTCAAAAAAACGCAAATTTCTTACGCAGATTGTGAAGTTATGAGTGCATTTCAGACTTTGCCGATGCGCCCATCGTGATTTTTGAGGCATCATCTGTAGGAAACAACTCTTATATTTGCTCTAGCAAAAGTTTGCAACAGGCCCATTATCAGGATTGCCAAAGAATTGGGAAGATAAAATTCCCTGACATTTCCCTGATGCATTAGAGTAAAATTCCCTGACAATTGAAGATATGCCAAATGGTTAAAAGGACATAATTTGAAATAGTTTTCAGGCAAAATTTGTGTTTCAAATCGTCACACCCATCCTGAAGAAGAAATGAAGGTGAATTAATAATTTTTCGCTGTTTTATCATCTTCCGTGACTTTTTAAAATTCCCTGACATTTCCCAGTATACCGTGACTTGGCAACCCTGTATTATCCTTAGAGCTGAGTTATTTAGAATGGGCCAGTTAAGAGTAAAAACAAAGAAATCTATTAATCTACATTTTCTTGGATCAGGGAAGAATATTTAGTTATCACTTGCCTAAAAAAAATACAACTTTAATGTGCCACATCAAGAATGTACCAAGTGCTTAACAATTCACTTTTCAAAAATGCTGAACTTTGAAGTTTTCCTGATTCTTCTACATATGCAACTTTTTGCGTGCTTTCATGCTAATATAAAATAACAGTGAAGTAGCCCAAAGCCCACCATGTCAAGGTAGTCGCATGTCAGGCATGTTGCGTTCAACCCTTAATCTATTACTAGGGGGCTACGCCTCTGGCCGCTACACGGCCCAACCCCCTAAAGGCACCCTCGGCCGTCAGTGAGCCGCTTCGCGGCCCTATTTTCAGCCTCCTATCAATGTTGGTTTTATTTTTCCCCTAAAAAATTACGATATGAGGTATACTTTACTTTTAAAATGAAATTTTTTTGTTTATGATGAATAAAGAAAAAAAAATTGAAGTCAAAAGGACGCGTTTTGCAATGACTGATTAATGAAATATTGCAGTAAAATAACGAATAATCAAGTCAAAGTAGCTGAGAAGATAGGAATCGAACCCTCATCTTGAGACATGTGGGCGTATCCGACGTCTTAGACGACTTGGCCACCACTCATCTTGATGTAACCGGGGCGAATCTTGTGTTGATAAGTAGAGCTGATGCGCAGGCTGTTCAGGCACTGCGCAACCTCCTCGGCCACTGCACAACCTTCTGCGCATAGCGGCAGCAGGTTGAGGAGCATTCTGTAAATTCGCTCACTTTTATAACTTGATTGTTAAAAATACTTGGGTCCTATTTCCAAAATCTGATTAGAGCGGGCTCATATAGGGCCTTTTGCCCATTGGTAACCACAAAAATCATGGAAATCGGCCCGGTAGAACGCTCAAATGAACTATGACAAAAAACATAAATTTACATTGTTTAAATGGGAGAATTTGCAACTTTACCACGTAATATAAAAAAACCTGGATCACATTTTGAAAATCTGAATGGAGCGGGCTCATCTAGAGACAATTGCCCGTCGATAGCTGTAAAAATCATGAAAATCGACCCAGTAGAATTCTGGAACTAAATGTTACAAGTTACGCAAAATTAGGAGGTCTCGGAGCTTATAGTATAGATTTCGTGACGGCTATTTGCTTATTAAAATTTGACATTTGTCACCATTATCTGTCTTAAATGTTTCCCTTAAAATATCAACTCAAATGACTTACCATACAAAATTAGCTTTAGCAATATGCAATTTTCGAAGAAATAAGATCTATTTCAAATCTGACAGTACATTTGTAGTATGTGATTTAATTTTAATTTACTTCTTAAAGCGTAAAAGTTGAAGTAACAAATTAAAAGAGCAGATTGATTAGTTTCATTAAAAATTTTAAGTGTCTGTAGGTATTATTCATGTTTTAGAAAAATGTCTATTATGAGGAGCAATAGCTACCCTGTCACGCTAATGAGGTCCGAGACGGAAAGCCGAGACTATTTTTGCTAATTAATTGCCGTTTGTAAGTGGCAGGGGTTTTTGATACTTTCCGCAAAGCATATAGAGTGCACATTGTTGGGAGAAATTTTACGGATAGGTTATCACCTAGAGAATAAATGGGAGCCTCATACTACTTGGGGTTTTTAGAACCATCTGTGAATAGACTACTGGTTGATTTAACCCGATTTTTGATCAGATGCCTATCAAGCTAGAAATTAGAGAAAAACCATCGGAAATCGCCAAAATCATAGCCTTCCAACACAGGTCGCACCAAGTTTTAAAATCCATATTTAAAGGTGTCAAAATCTTCTCCATGATCTCACTTAAGGATCTTACCCAACAATTTGAAAATTCAAGCCATTTTCGATTTAATATTACTTGTAGAAAATTTTGTTCTCCGGCGAGCCGGGTAGCCCTATCAAAACTACCTTATATTCCTGATCCAAAAACATCATCGCCTTCGTGACTTGGTTCCTGATGGCTAACGTCAAAGTCAATTTGATGTTTCTTTTTTCGCTTTAAAGTTACCGAGATGTGAGCATACTCACACAGGTAAATGAATGAAGTTTTAATTTAGGATTGCAAACTAAATAATCGTAGTGAAACTTCCCTTTTGTTGTTCTCTCATAACCCTATAGTTCATGTTAACCTTCATTACCATGGTACAAATTCTGTATAACTACCTCTACGTATGGTTTATGTAAAAGCGAACAATACCAAGGTATGACAAAAAGTGAATTTTAATACCCTGCGGGGATCTGTTCAATGTCACAAAATCCTAGAAGTCTGGTTTTGAGCAACACCCAAATTAAGGATTTTGAGGGAGCGTTAGTAGTTCTACCAATTAATCTATGCTGAATTGACACAAGAACTTCCAGAAGTCTCTAGGTGAGAATAGAAGGTATGTACTAAACTAGATAAATACGATTTGACCCCGAACAAATTGCTTAACAAACTTTTCCTATGTAACGTCATCAATAGGTCCTCCTGGACAAAATACCAAAAGTTTACCACAGTCCGACCCTGGAACACCCCCCAAAATGCCTAAATTTCAAAATGGCGGCCATAATAAGGCCTCTGGGATTTCGGTTTTTTAAAATAAGCATGTAGTGTCATA